TATATATGTTCAAATTTATATATATATATATATGCTTATATAAATACACACATATGTATGTGCATACACATTTTACTTAAGGATTTATCAGATCAGTAGGATCTCATGTCTTTTTACCTGAAAAGGTGAAACGTTCACTCTGATGTTTTGGCAGGCTCCATAGAAGTAACTACTCCAGACCTCACATACACTTATGTGTCTTTACCAGACTTCACAAGTACAGTAGCCCCCATCCCCCACCTTATCCACAGTTTCACATTCTGTGGCTTCAGTTACTCCTGGTCACCTATGGTGCGAAAATATTAGGGTATTTTGAGAGACATAGAGAACACATTCACATAACTTTTATGGCACTATGTTGTTATAATTGTCCTATTTTGTTATGAGTTCTTGCTGTTAAACTCTTACTATGCCTAATTTATAAATTAAACTTGATCATAGGCAAGTATATCTAGGAAAAAGCATAGCATATACAGGATTCATTACTATCCATGGTTTCAGGCCTCTGTGGAGTGTCTTGGCACGTATCCCCCGTGGATAAGTATCTTTTCTTACCTGGTATTGTTCTAGTGTGAATATGAGTCTAAATTAACCTTCTAAAACTTGGGCTGTCGTTATAAACACACGGAGCAGTACTCAGTTAAAGGAGGCGGCCTTCTGTGCTCCACAGGTAATGGTGAAGGCAGCCAAGAAAATGTGTCCTATTTGCTTTATATCACAACACCGGACATGCTTTGCACACAGATTTCCGTGAAGTTTATTTAACATTAAGATAAGATTAATCAGGTAGAATTACCTGACATAATTACGTAAATAATTCTGTACCACTTGAAAAATTTGGGAAAAGTACATTTTTGAATAAATATACTAATTTGTGGCTAAGTGTCCATTTAAGAAATTACCTTGGAATCTTTGGCATTTGAAAATAGTGTAATTCCATGAAATGTATAATGTCTGCACCAATGATTTGTAGCTAGATATGGCAGGACTATAATAAGTAGTTCTCAGAGGAAAAATTTAGCAACTTTAGGAAGCTTATCTGTCTTAGCTTCTCTTAATTTCTGTATCAGTATATTTTTTATTTGACTATATATTTTTATGTCATTTAAAACATAACAATCAGTTAATTAAAAGATGGCATGAGACAGGTGATATTTGCACAGGTAGTGAATCTACACGTGGGGACTCACCACTTCTTGGGTTCAGAGGCATACTGATCTCTCTCGAATGGGAATGAGTGTCTAAGGAGAAATTCGTGAATACCCTTTTTGTTCTCTTTATTTTTCCTACAAAGGAGTGGTTTACCAGAAAAAGCATCTGGATTCGATTGCCTTTTCATTCACTGTAGACCACTGATGGGATCTGGAACCACTTACGGCCTCACAGTCTGTAAGTGGCACTTGAGTATGGACAGGAAATAAGAATGACAAAAAGTGTCCCCTCCACAGTTCTTAGGAAATTCTCCTGGGTCTTTATTCATACCTCAAAATATCCATTTACCTTGAAGCAAATAAGAAGCAATACAGACTTTGCAAGTTAAGTAATGAATTGGATTGGGGGTGGGTCATTCCTTACCAAATACCCAAATCCAATATTTTTTGAAATGTAATTTCGCAGCTCAAGGTTCAGGGGAAGGGATAAAGGCATTAAGTAGTAAACACGTCACACTGGAAGTGGCGCATAGCCAGGTCAAGAGAACCCTGTGCCACACCCGTGGCCTGGTTTTACTCCCCACACTGCAAGAAAACACATGTTGTCTTTGAACAGCTCAATTTGAATTTGTAAGTCCCTCTTCGTACTGATTTGATCTTTTCTCCACCTAATTCTTTTTTATATATATAATTTATGATTCATTAATTTTTTTATTGTACTTTAAGTTCTGGGGTACATGTACAGATCTTGCAGGATTGTTGCATAGGTACACACACGCCATGGTGGTTTGCTGTCTCCATCCCCCTGTCACCTACATCAGGCATTTCTCCCAATGTTGTCCCTCCCCAACCTCCCCACCCCCTGCTGCCCCTCCCCTACCCCCCACCCCACAACAGACCCCAGTGTGTGACCTTTGCCTCCCTGTGCCCATGTGTTCTCATTGTTCAACACCCGCCTATGAGTGAGAACATGCAGTGTTTGGTTTTCTGTTCTTATGTCAGTTTGCTGAGAATGATGGTTTCCAGATTTATCCATGAACCTACGAAGGACATGAACTCATCCTTTTTTATGGTTGCATAGTATTCTATGTCCACCTAACTCTTTAACCCTAAAAAAGGTCCAGTGTTTTACTGTTCTGGGTGACATTCGTAATGTCTGACACTATCTACACATAACTTTCTATACGTCCTCAAGATTCTTTCATATTTAAAGTGACTTCCAAATCCATGAACATTGCAGACACCCTCTTGGACACAGTCAATGTGTCCTCCTTAGACCCTCAGGACCTCTGAGTTGAAAACCATACCCCATATATGGCCTGGCCAGAGCCACATAGAGTAGAGACCACCTTCCATTTCTGGAGACTGGTCTTTGTCTGTTCATCCTAAACTTGTCTGAGAGAACCCTCCTCCTAGTAATCACATCACCTTGGCTCCTACCAGACCAAAACACCTAAAATGCCTGGCCATGCCTTCTCGCATAAGCATAAGTGCTTATCCAGGTATCATTCCAGGAGGCTTCTCAGGGTGGTATATTGATGGGTGTGAATTTCAGCCAACAGGTGTTCACATGTCAGCCAGAAGTTTAAAAATACCTACCTCAAGGGACACTTGATGATGTAAGATTTGATCTTAGAATTTCAGACAGGGTATTCTCGGTGTCAATTTTTATTCTTTAGGTTTTCAAGCGGGACAGCCGTGCACAGTTGCTGGTTGTACTCTATGTAAGAGGCAAATAGGGCTGACGTGCAGCCCATTCCTCTCTCAGCAAACCCTGTGCTGGCCTGGGGTTGCTTCTGCCTTTCCATAACTTGTACATCTGCATTTTTATAAACTATCAGTGACCCTGATCACAGGACATGCTACAATTCAGAAAAGTAGAGAAAAGTATAGATAAACCCCCAAAATACCTCAAAGTAAGACATGACCATTAAAACAAATAAACAGTATGGAAATACTTAGAACAAAATACAGGAACATGCTCTCTCCCTCTGTCTCACACACACCCACTTCCAAGACTCTTATTTCTGCTGTTTCAGAAATTCACTGTCTTTTTCCTGTATAATATATCACTATTTTGTGATAATTACTTTGTCTCTTTAGATGTTGTCTATTGAGTGTCTGTTACACAACAGGGAATCAAATTCTCGTGGCAGTCCCTCTCCATCCTCACACTTTGCACACCCTTGTGGACTCTGTGTGCAGTGGTCATGATTATTGGCTAAAGCTGTGACATTTGTCATTTGGTCCCTGCAAATATTTCTCAAGCCTGAGCCAAATAGAGTACTTGGATTCCATTTTTCTCTCTTGTACAACATGTCTTTTCCCTGTAATTAATATTAGTCTTGTTTCTTCAGGTGCTGCGTTTTTTAGTTAAACCTAATTTTTTCCACATGGTCTCACAGATCTGTCCAAGAACTGACAATAGTTTCCAACTGTATTCCAAACGTGTTTCAAAGCATTCTATCAGCTCCAGGACCTTTCACCTGGAGCATCTCTCTCGCCATCTGCCCAGGCTACACACTGCTGTGCTGGGACCTCCTGTCACTCTCCTTCTGGAAAGTTCCTTTGCTGCATCCGGTATCTCACACTTCCCCTTTGTTGAGACTAGATTGAAATGTATGCCATGATGACATTTTCAGTGAGTGCAGAATTCCAGGTGAAAATCATGTTTTGTTTGGATTCTTGTCGCTTTGTTACACTGTGTCCTAGTGCCCAACAATGCTGTTGAGAAATAGAACGCCATTCTCCTTCCCGTTCCTTCCTGCTGGCTGCTTCCCCTCTCTGGGCACTCTTGGGTTCTGTGCTGCATCCCTGCCGATAATGAGCTTCATAGGGGCATTCCTTGGCCAGTCTCCTTCCATCCATTGCCCCAGCGTGTGCTATGCCACTGAACATGAGACTCCTGGACTTTAGCCCTAGGTGATTTTCCTGTGTTACTTCTTTAATAATTTCTTTTCCTTGGTTGCTTTCTTTCTGCACTGAATTAATCCTCGAGTTTTCTTATTTTTTTTTCCATCCTTTTGCTGTTTTTGTTCTATTTTCTGAGAAATTTCTTCAATTTTATTCTTCCAACTATTGGTTTTTACAATTTGTAGTATTCCATTTTCAATTTCTGAAACCCCTATATTGTTCTTCACTTCCTTCTTTTATAACATTCTCTTTTTTTAACTGTCAATGCAATATCTTTTCTTTTCCCTCTGAGAATATTATAGTTCTAAGAACTTTTTTTCCTCCCTGTATGGTTTCTTTCCAAGTTTCCTTTTACTGTTTATTATTTTAGCCTCCGTCATTCTTGTTGCAGACTTTCCTTGGTTATCTCGTTATCCTTAGCCATTCTTTCCTATGTAAGAGCAAGACACTAAAATGCAGATTGGAAGCTCTGGTGAGGGGTGGAGGGCTGCTGGCACATGTTGCCTGGTGAGCTTGATATAGGGTGATTGCATGAGGGGATGACTTCCTACACTTCAATAACTGCAGATATTTCCTTTGGTACAGTTCTGCTTCTCCAGAAAATGCTCTCCTATGTCTCGTCTGGGGGAAAAGGTGGGGGTTCGACTACATGCCCACAGCATGCATGCTAGGAACAGGACAAGGAGGGGAGGTGGGGGCAATCCATGGGGGAGAGGAGCGCTTCACAGTTTGATATGTTGACTCTCATTGCGTCCTGTTCCATCTAGACCCTCATGCGTTCATTACACACAGTGCGTCTGAGTCCAGAGTCCCTCTGGTTTAGTTTCTCCAAGGCATAAACCCTTTCTTTCTTCTGGGGATTTGGGACAGTGTGTTATAAACAAAATTTATTTTCATCTATTTATGATAATGCATTTTTTCAAGGATTTTCTTTTTGTGCTCGTTCTAGCGGCACACTTACTAAAATTGGAACTATGTAAAGAAGATTAAAAAGGACTCTGCACAAGGATGACATGCAAATTCATGAAGTGTGACACATTTTAAAAAATAACTTGAAATGGACCACTATGCGACTCCTAGAAGAAAACATAGTGAAAAATCATCATGACATTCAATTTGGGAATGATTTCTTGGATATGATGTCAAAAGCACAGGCAACAAAAGAAAACTGATAAGATGGATTTTATCGAAATTAAAAGCTTTTGTACATCAAAGACACAATCAACAGAGTGAGAAGGTAACCCATAGAATGGAAGAAAATATGAATCATATAACTGATAAGGGATTATTATCCAGGTGATGTAAAGAATTCCTACAACTCAACAACCACAAAAAATCCCAGACATCCTGATTCAGCATGGGCAAAGGACTTGAGTAGACATCTCTCCAAAGAAGATATACAGATGGCCATCAAGCACGTGAGTAGGTACTCGGCATCCACAGTCATTACCACTCCCCACCCATAAGGATGGCTGTGGTTGAAACAAACCAATAAATAAAAGTCAGACAACAATGAGAGTTGGCGAGGATGTGGAAAAGCTGGAACCCTTGTGCGTCGCTGGTGGGAATGTAAAGCAGTGCAACCATTGCAGGAAACAGTTGCTAATTCCTCAAAATAGTAAACATAGAATTACTGAATAATCCAGCAATTCCACTTCTGGATATATACTCAAAAGAAGCCAGGTGCGGTGGCTCACACCTGTAATCCAGCACTTTGGAAGGCTGAGGAGGGAATCCACTCCCAAGGTCAGGAGTTCAAGATCAGCCTGGCAAACATGGTGAAACCCCATCTCTACAAAAAAAAAAAATACAAAAAATAGCTGAGTGTGGTGGCGGGTGCCTGTAATCCCAGCTACTCAGGTGGCTGAGGCAGGAGAATGGTTTGAACCCAAAAGGTGGAGGTTGCAGTGAGCCAAGATTGTGCCATTGCACTCCAGTCCAGGCAACAGAGTGAGACTCCATCTCAAAAATAAAAAAGAAGAAATGAAGGCAGGGATTCAAAATTATATTTGTATACTTTTTTTTTTTGAGACGAAGTGTCCCTCTGTCGCCCAGACTGGAGTGCAATGGTGCAATCTTGGCTAACTGCAACCTCCACCTCCCAGGTTCAAACAATTCTGTCTCAGCCTCCCAAAGTAGCTGGGATTACAGCTGCACACCACCTTGCTTGGCTAATTTTTGTAGTAGAGACAGGGTTTCACATATTGGTCAGGCTGGTCTCAAACTCCTGACCTCAGGTAATCCACCTGCTTTGGCCTCCCACAGTACTGGGATTACAGGCGTGAGCCACTGCGCCCAGCCTGTACACACTTTTGTAGCACCATTATCACAATAGCCTAAAGGTAGAAGTGAGTCAAGTGTCCCTCAGTGGAGGAGTGGATGAACAGATTGTAGTGTCCCCATACAATGAAATATTACTAAGCCTTAAAAAGGAAGACAATTCTGACACACGCTACAACATGGATAAATCTTGAGCACATTGTGCTAAATGAAATAAACCAGCTCCAAAAAAACAAATACTGTGTGATTCCACTTACATGAGGCACCTAAAGAAGTTAATTGCATAGAAAGAGAAAGTAGAATAGTGGTTTTCAGGAAATGAGGGAGAGAGAAATGAGAAATTGCTATTTAATGGGGACATGGTTTCCATTTTACAAGATGAAAAGTGTTCTGGAGAGGGATGGTGGCGACGGATGAGCAATGTGAAGGTACTTAACGCCACAGAACTGAGCACTCTAAAATGGTTACAATGATGAATTTTATGCATCTTCTTACCATGATTTTAAAAGTAATTTTCTTTAAAAATCAAGAATAGTCATTTAAAAAAAAAGATTTTGGCTGACAGACATTTCATTTCATTTAGACGCTCAGAGCCATCCTGAGTTCCTCCTCTTCCTTGCTTTTCTTTATGACAGAATTCTCTTGATCCAGACCTATGATCCCTTTTTCCTAAATGCAGGGGAAAATAAAGGTCGTCATTCTTCTTCAGGGCTTCACACTCTTAATCCTTCATCCGAATGTTGTCATCAGTCTGCTCTTCTCAAATGGGCTCATTTCTCCAGTATTCCATTGGAACTGCTCCCAAGTCACCGATGATGCTGATCTTCAATTCCAATCTCTTTTTCTCAGAACTAGTCCTTTAACGCATGCTTACAACAAATGATCCCATGGCCCCTGCCTTCCTGTTAGGAGATACAGTGTGCAGTCAGTTTCGGATCCTTCACTTTAGTCCCACTTCCTGGGAGGCCCAGGCAGCTTGTTTTAATCCTGAAGTGACCTCAATGCAGGGCCCTGCTGTGTGCATGAGCACGTTAGAAAAGAAAAGAGTGGAAGACGCTGTAAAGGAATCATATTGTGAGTTTCATAAGCAAATCAATTATGAGTCAGTAATTTATGAATTTTGTGGAGACTCGGAACCCAGGTCTCCATGTCTCAGCACCTGGAAGACCTCTCACTCCAGGAGCAGAGAACTCTAGCTGGGGGTTGGGTTCAAGCCCTGGCACCTGGGCATCATCTGGTCTGCAAGGCAGAACCTGCTCTTAGGCTTGGCAGTGTTATGAGGTCTTTCTCTCAGAACAGCTTCATTCTAATTGTTTATCCTTAGCGTGTACGAGGGACTTCAGTGCAGGAGATGGAGGGGCAGCTTCCGTGGGCAAGACTCCTGCATTTACTATTACATGGAGCTCCCTGGCAGGGTATAGATAAGAAGAGGAGCCCTGACTGTCTGGTAGGACAGAATAAAGCTGAGGAGAAAGTAATATGCAGCAATAACTTGTGTGATGCCACAGGAGAGGACACACAGATGGGAAATTAGGGTCTAACCCGTGCCTTCTGGCCACGGTGCCTAGAAGAGGAACTTTCCCCCACTGTGGAGTGATTGAGGGTCCTCTGCTTTCTATGCAGTAGGTGACATGCTGTCTTCTTTCCTGGACTAACCCACCTGATCCATCTTCCACACCTCTGGCCCCTCACACACTGAGAGTCTGTGTGTGTACATGTGTGTTCATGTGTGTGCATGTGTACATGCATGTGCATGGGTGCATGTCTCTCTTCGCCTCGCCCTCCTCCTTTTCCCCTTCATTCCCTTGGAATCTATTACTTCCCTACAGGTTACTTCAGGGGAACATGGTCTTTTTGCTGACCCAAAACACAGCATTCCTGGAATCTGCTGAATGGCCGATTTGGGGAAAATAAAAAATCTAAATACAACATTGGCTCGAATTTATACGATGCTCAGCTGACGCACACACCACTTCTGTTGGCTGATTTTTGAGTGTGTGGGCAGCATATGGTTCTAGGACTAATGTTTTTCTCTTACTGCTAAACATTTTTAAATCCTGATTTTCATCTGTATAAAAATATGATTGCTTATCCCAGACCTGTGTGCCACCTGTATGTCCCTAAGCCTTGCCAGCAGCTGAGAGTGAATGAGGGTGCAGGTCCATCTGGCACACAGCCCACGTGAGCACGAGCAGCTGTCTGCACCTGCTCACTGAGCCCTGTTGCACTGCAGCCTTCCTCGGGGATCCACAGGCGGCCGTCCCTGCAGGCTGAGCCAACACTCCACCCTCGTGGCCTTGGGCTTCTGCCCAGGCACTCCTGCCCTGCCCTGTAAGCCCAGAGCCCTTGGTTCACATGGGGTCTGTCTGCTCCTCGGGCTTTGTGGAGAGGACGGGGAGCAACTGACTGAGGGGGGTTCTACTTGCCTTGGGCTAGGGTAGGGGGTGTGTCCCAGTGCTGCAGCCCCAGAGCAAGCATCACTCCCAGGTTCAACATATACTTCTGTCACTGTGGGCTGGGACCTGGCCACAACCGGCCACCGCTTTGTCCACAGAACAAAGTGGTGGCCAGTTGAGACTCTGGGGCTGCAGCCACTGGCCGCACAGACTCCTGTTTCTTTAGGGCATGGATTCATGGCTTTTTTCCCTTTTGCAATTCGGTTCCTGTCTCCCCGACTGAAACTCACTCCTTGGCACCTCCAGGCTCTACCCCTGGGACACTCCTGTGGCTGGGCTGTGAACGGGGCTGCTGTGTCTGGATTCAAGTATGGGGATCCTCTCCCCTGGCTGCCGCAGCCCTGCCCCTGGGGTTGCCACACCACCTACCAACCTTGAATTGATTTTGATCTGCAGCTGAGTTTCCATCTCTGTCTAGTCCTTTTATTTTGGAAAGAAAATTTAGCTTGGTGTTTTAGGTTCAAAAATCATTTGAATGTACTGAAATGTGACAGAAATGTACATGATCAGACTCACAGGACTGGAAGGCTGGAGGTTCAGAAATGGCAAGCCCACGACTCCCCTCCCTGGCTCTCCCCAGAGAGGGCAGGAATGGCTAAGGCACGGCACCCCCTCTACAGGCTTCCAGCTGGTCAGAGGTGGCCTATAATCGGAAATCCTGACTGGCCATGCATAGCTTGGTTCTGTGCACAAGGCATGTACACTGAGCTGCCCAGTGGTATTCAGGAGTTTCCAAATGCCATATGCATTAGGGGCCCCCTGGCATTTGGCTGGTTTTGGTTTCTGTTTCCACGTAACTCTAATTACTCAGAACGTTGTGGTGATAATAGTTTCATGGACACTTTGATGTATTAGAGCTTATACAGGTGCTCTCCCTCTACCTGGACAGTTTACACATCAATCACACCTCAGTAAGGCAGGCTTGAAGTATTTTGTAATGCATGGCATGCATTTCAATCCAAAATACTTATGACATCAAAAATCTTCCTCAGCAATAAAGCATTCAAATAGCTATACATAGGACTTAGAAATTATTCGTAATTGATTGTCATATAATCTTTCATTTCAAACTTCTGTGACCTCAGCTTTCTTCTGTTAGTTATGTGTAAAAATAGAGATACAGAGTCCATCCTGATGACAATCCTTCTGAGCCCTGAACCATCTGTCATGGTGCCAGAGCACCCAACATGAAGGGCCAATGGGAGCCCCAGGCACTTACCTCTGAATTACCCATCCAAGATGAAGTTTTCCGAAGAGCCCCGCTCCCAGCTGTAAGGGTGTATTTAGTAGAATTTACTGCTAACGTG